CTTTTTCATATAACTGAAGGCCAAGACATGGAAATCTCTCTCTCTCTGTTCCCTATTAAAAAAAATCTTTGTAATATTTTCCAGGTGGTCTGTATTATGCTTGAAAATAGATGCTACTAAACTTCATGCTATATACAACTATTAAACACAAGCTATAGAGAGAATTGAATTGTACATGGTCTAAAACAACTACTTGTCTTCAGTGATTATAAACCTTATTTTACTCTTTCATATATTTCACTCTAATGTTGGTTTAGTTTACTTAATTATCTTAAGGAAAATTCCTATGGGGGAGGAGCTGATAACTAAAATCTAGTTCCCCAATTGTTTCTTGATTATGCCAATAAAGATGGCAGAAGCTAATCATTGGGCAAAGGTAAAAAGGTGGGATTTCTGGGTCCCAGGAGGAAGAGGATGAAAAGAGATAAAGGATTTTTCAGCTAGGCTTTGGAGGGAAGACCATAAATCATGTAAGGTCTGGGGCTAACTGGAACCGTTGGCGGCCTCTGCCATGGGAAGAATTCTGATAGGGATAGCTGATGAGTTTAGGACAATAGATTCTGTGCACAGCAGTTGTGTTATCTGGCTGGCTTTATAATATAAAGGCTGTCTAGGGTTTTCCATCCATGATGACTCAGGTGGGCAAGAGAAAGGGCATAGTCATGGAGTGGTTGTTTGAAGTTTGGCCGACCTAGTCTTGAGGGGTTGGAGGAGTAACCAAAACTCCCACAAGAGAGAGGTCAGAGAACCAGCTGTCTATTGGTGGAGCTATGTTAGGAGTGGAACTAGTGGCAGCTTGTTCTCAGAGCCAAACCAAGAGCACCACTCCCTGAAGGTGATAGGCTGGAGTTTTAAAATTACACATAACAAGTTCTAGAATCATATAATTTTACCCTTACATATTTTAGTATATATTACTAACTGATAAAAATTTAAAAATTAGTGATACTGTTATTTCTTCTTCTCACTTAATACTTAACTCTTATTCAAAAATTTCTCCATATTCTCAAAGACATCTTTCTTACAATCACTGTCTGAGTTAGGACTCCATGACGATCACATACAGTATTTTGCAGATGTAACTTTATAATATATAGTAGATTACTTGTCAATTCTACCTCTGTAAGACATTTATCTGTGGACAAAAGTGGATCTATCATATTGTTGAAAGTTCCACATTTAGGTTTAGTATTGTGAAATTATTTAAATTTTCTCTTTATTTTTCTCCAACACCTGTTTTGCAAAATCAAAATGAGAAAGATTGATCAGATTCATGCTGAATTTCAAAAGAGATACTAGAGAAATAATTTGATATCCTCTCCTCCCTTTCCTTTCCCATTTCTCTCCTCTTCCCCTTCTGTCCCTTCCTCCCTCCCCTCCCCTCCCCTCCCCTCCCTTCCTCTCCCCTCCCCTCCCCTCTCCTCTCCTCCCCTTCTCTCCTTTTCTCTCCTGATGTATCACCAATCTCTGTGTCTCTTTCTGTGATGTTACAGTTTTCATAAGCATTTTACTGTATAGCTCCAATGTCTGATTATCACTGTTCTTGTTTCTCTCAATGTCCTTATGCTGGGGATCAAACTCAAGGTCGTGTTCATGTAAAGCAAACGCTCTATGGAGCTCCAACCTTAAACCTTTACTTTTGGAATTCTGTTATTTCTTATGTTAATTTCTTCTCCCCTCCGCCCACCTCCGTCACTTCTGTCTACTTTTGTCTTCTCTTCTTTTCTCTATTCACTGTTGCTGCATCAGAGAACAAATCCATGTTGAAAGTTACTAGATATCACCAAAGTCCTCTTAGTAAACTTGTACGATTTTATGTGCAAGAATATTTGAAATAGTCTCTCTCATCTCTGAGCTACTTAATCGAGTACACATGGATGTAGGGTCTCCAGGCAATTTGACAACCATCCAGATGCGGGAAGTCTGTTCTCCAAGCAATCTTAAGCCAACCATTGAAAGTATTATTCACTTGTTGCATACTCTATCATGATAGACACTCTCAAAGAGGATATAGTGTCCTCTCCTCTGCATGAGCCTGGTGTTAGGTAGTAGAGAAATGCACGTAAGTAAATAATCACGCTCTCACTGTTAATAAATAGAGGTGAACCAATGGTGCTAAGAAAGCCTGAGAGAGTGCATGAATGTAAATGTGTGGCCATTGAACCCAGCACAGTGTGATTGATTCTTGCTATCCAAGAAGCTGAAGAATGCCTTTAGCACATACTCTACTTACCTGACTGATTCCATGGAGTCTGCCGCCTTGAAATGCAACGGCTCATAAATTTGACCCCAAATCTGATCCATTTCTACTTGTTTCTTTGATTTTTTTCCCCTTCCTTTTGTCATAGCTATATATGATCAAGTTGGGGTTAGGGAAGATATTTATGAAAATTATTAAATCTTCATACATTTTATTTTTTTTGTGTGTGTGTAGGTGTGTGTGTGTGTGTGTGTGTGTTTATCTGTGTGTCTGTGTCTGTGTGTGTAGAATAGAAGACACATGAAGAAAGCAAATGCTCTTTTAGCCTTGGTGGCAGACATTTCTACCTGCTGAGCCACCTACACAGACCTTATGGAGATTTTTGAACCCAAAATAACAGCATGTAAAATTTTAGCAACTATTTTCCACATGAATCCATCACTGTAAACATTCTGTGGTCTGCTTAATATACTGACATTTATGTAGTTGACAGGAGAGAAGATAAAAGTCAATAAAAATGGAATTATTTATTAAAAAGGTCTATTGTTACAAGAACAGTACACAGAACTATTATCTTACTGTGCCCTCCACATGATATATACCATTATATATAGTATATATACAGATTGTATACAATATACTTAACGGTTTGACATAGAGTCCACAGTACCTTCAATTACATATGCAAAACATTTGTTGTTATGAAGTGTCTCATGATAAGGATAGCTGTTTTCTTATGGTTCAGTGGGCATTGTAGAAAAATACAGTCTCTGCAGTGATTTAAGACTGTGTGGTTACCATTCCATCAGAGAAAAAGCTTTCTCAGTACTGTTGTTGGAAAATAATGTTCCTTGATAGGAATATTGTCTGCTTGCTACAAAATAACAAATGTGAAATACAGAAATACAGATACAGTGAAAACCTGCTTTATTTTAAATAGGTTCATGATGCAAAATACATATTTTGTGCATATTGAGTAAAAACACCCCACATATCTGACTTCTGTGAGAATATGTCATCAGAAATTCTATATGTGGATATTCAGGCAATGATTTGGAAACGTTGATTAATTAGAGTTTGCCATGTCATGACATCTTGATTTTATTGGGTTTTGTTTTAGAAGAATTTAGTTAAGAAGTTGATTCTTAAAGGTCTCCAGGTAATCTAAATGATAGCATCAATAATAAATGAAGAAAATGTCTCAATTTACCATATATGAAAAACATATTCTTTTAAAAATATCATTCTACACTTTTTTCAGATGCATGATTTGTTCCTGCAAGTGACACCATGCTTTGGGAAGCTCCTCTTTTGCTTCTTGTTGTTGAAATTCAGCCTCTCCTACTCCCCTGGAGGCACATGAGAAAGGCCACGTGGTTTGATTATTCATAGGCTTGAATAGTCACTCTCTTAGTATTTACTGTAAGAGTCTGTTGACTAAAATCATCTTTGTATATTTTTCCTTTACTTAAGAGTTGTCTGGAAAACAATTCTCTCTAAACAGAATGTGAATAACTGGCAGATAGTCACACTATACCCTGAAAACTCTTTTAGGATATTCAAGATAGACTCCCCCAACTGTCATTTACTTAAGCTCAGTATTTTCATTTTGTTTGCTATTAAAGATGCAAATAAAGTTAATTAGCTTAGATCATATAAAGGCAAAGCAATAGAATTAACCTTCTGTCCCCATATTAGCACTAATCATGTAGCCAGCACCTTCAGTTTCTTTCTGGAAAAAGAGACTGCCTTCACGATCATTTCTGGACTCTTCACAGGTGCGGTCTCCACCCTGATGTGTCCTTGTGCTCTCTCTCCTATCACACATTCAGGAAGTAGGATTATCTCACTTAGCTTTTCCATTATCTCGTAGGTTTAATCTAACTCCTCAAATTAGTCAATTGGGAAAATTCCATAAAATCCAGCAATGCAGACTTTGGCTAGACTAGCTGAACCCTTGTGGCCATGCTGTGTGTCCACAACTCAGTTTTAAGAACATCATTGAACCGAACAGACTCTCTTTACTACAGTAGCTGGGAAGCATTGTAAGTGGCGTATGATAAGTAATAGTGTCTAAAAACTTGGATTTTTTGTTTGAATCATTTACTTCATTACTTCTTCCACCAGTGCTCCTTATCCTTACAACCATTTGCAAGTAGAAGAAAGCCTTGCACTCAATTCTGTCTGTCTTGACAGTGGGTAGAGAAATGGGGCATCCCTGTCCCATGCTCTTAGCACTTTTAGGTTAGCACCTGTGGCTTCGTGCTGTTACTCTTTTCAGCGGTCACTATTTTTGTGACGTTAAACTATCTTTTGACATTAAACATGAGCTGTATTTGCTGTTAGGTCATGTTACTCCATGGGAAACAATAACTCAGTTTGGACTCACTCTCTATTTTACTTCCACTAATGTAAATTCCCTACCTTAATACCTTACTATATGAGCACATGTAGAATGGCCTATTGAAAAACCTTGCTATTTTTCTATTCATCATACAACAATTTTTGAGAATTCTTTTATGTATTTCCCCTATCATGGACCCCAATAACTGAAGTATTTCTTCATATTTCCTGCTGGTTTGGTATCGAAGAACTGATCTAATGGGAAGTTTGGAAAACACTAGACACAAAGTCTTGAGAACACGTTTCCTTCTTGAGGTTGTATTTGATTTTGAGCAGGCTATAGAGACCACCTCATCAATGGATGGCTGATACTCAGAGTCATTAAATAGACAATCAAATCCCAACATATTAAAAAAATTAAGAATACATCTGACAGAAATTACCTTTGCTTACAAAATTTCATTACATACAATCTGCATATTTTTATTGGACCAAGAACTGTCCTCTTCATTTACAAAATCCAAAGAGAAACCTGATGGGTAACTCATATTCTCCCCCTAAACTCCTGAGAGTGCACCGTCTGTAGTCCCGTGTATTCAAAGCTTTTCTCAGGACCCCGGTCTCCATTCATTCTGCGTTCTGTCTGCTGCCGCTTTCTCAAGCTAAAGCAAAGAAAAGCACACTGCATGAGCAGCTTTCACCAGGAACTGGAAGGAAGCATCAAAGCCAAGAGCAGTGTTACTGAGGAGCACTTGGAGAGAGAGTGCAGGGTTGACTGAGCACTCGTGATTTTCCCACCTGTGAACAAAAGAGAAGCCTCCAATGAAGCCACTTGTCAAAGAAAAGTTCTCAGGGATGTTGGGCAGCAAAACTGATCCTCTGTCCCATGGCATTGTTCTGCTATGGAATAAGGAATTGTCTGAGGTCTCTGCCTTCACAAGGAATTAGAAGTCTATTTGAAACACTGTATTGAAAAACTAAACAACTTCTAACAAACAAACATAACAATGAGAATGATTGATTTTTACTAGTGGTGCACAGGTAGAAATTATTTTAAGAGCAAGGGATGGGGATGAAATCATTGTCAAGAGCTTAAATGGTTCAAAGATAACTGGAACAAAGATAATTAGTGTAAATGTGATGAGACATGAATTCATAATATTCCACAAACAAGAAAATTTAATAAAACATTTTATTTACCATATTCATGGTGTTTGATTATTTCTTCAGAGCAAGCTTAAATTCTGTGTCCTTCCAAAATTGGCTAAAAAGGAACAATCTTGTCTCTACGATTCGTACACTTAGAAGGAGTTCTTTTCTGAGATCAGATCATCACATGCAGTTGAATGAATTGAGCTAACTGGTCTGAGTTGATTGGTCTGAAGTGGTTTGAAATGTCATATGCCAATAAATTTACAGTCATTTTTAGACAGTAACTTCAGGAATGGCTCTTAAGCTAGAAGTATTCTGAAATATCAGAGGGATTGATGTGATTACTTTCTGTATACCAAACATGGTAATAAAGCTGCTCATGTGATGTGCTCTTCTATGCTTTAGCTTGAGAAAGCGGCAGCAGACAGACATACTGTCCCTCTTGGTCCTTGTAATATTCCTATGTGGTAATATAGCATGGCCTTCCTGTTGCAGATGAGAAAACGTACAGCTTAACAGTTAGTGAAAAAAAGAGCCCATGAATTCTAGGGAGCATAAGGAGTTTATGGGAGTTTGGAGGGAAGAAAGGCAAAAGAGAAATATAGTTATATTATAACCTAAAAACAAAAAAGTATAAAAAATTTAAAAAAATGATGAATGTGATTAAAGTGTTGAGTTGACGAATTGTAGGTCTAGATGCTCCCTGGATTTTGTCTCTCAAAACAGTGACTTAGTTTCCTTTCTTGTTGCTGTGATGAAATAACACAGACAAAAAGTGAATTAAGGCAGAGAAGCTTACAAGTCTTTATTACAGTATGCTGTTGTAGACGAGTCAAGGTAGCAGGAAGTTGAAGTAGCTAGTCATTGCATATGCGCAGTTAAGAGTAGAAAGAGGTGAATGCATGTGTGCCTGCCTACTACTCATCAACCTGTTTACTCCTATACAGTTCAGGATCTCCTCTTAGAATATGGTGTTATATCCAATGTGCTGGGTCTTCCCACATCAGTTACTGCAATCATGACAGCTCCCCACAGAAATGCCTATAGGACAACCTAATCTGAGCAATTCTTCATTAAAGCTATCTTTCTAACTCATTCTAGTTTATATTTAGTTGATAAAGATCAACACAGAGACTGAATCTGGGTTAAAAAAATAAAGATTTTAAAAATTACCCACATTTTAGAATGTTCTGTCAAGTTTTGGTTAGATGAGCACAGTGACATCAAGGAATTCTTTTCTGTTGTTATTAGAGACAAAGAGTTTAAATGTATTCTCCACACATTTCAGAGCAAAAGAATGATTTTGATGATAAACCATATATGCAAACATCCATGAATGCAGAGCGGTTAATCTTCATTTCTTTGTCAATTTGTATCACTAATGCAATAGTAACAGTAATTAGAATATTGAATACTTTTGAGTAATTTCATCTTGTGCAAAATGCACTGATTGTACAATGCATGGTCACATATGAGTCATGATAAGAATTGTAAGTTTGATGACAGACCTCGCTGGAGAAGCATGGCCTGAAATAAATAAAGCATGCCCAATTTCTATGACGGTCTTGTGAGATCATCTTTAATGATGCTGAGTAAAGTTTACCTCTCAAATTCTAAATCAAACCCACTAATTAGATATGTTACCTTAACACAGCCAAATAACTAAGGTGAAAGCCAAGCAACAACCAGCAGCAACGGGCTGCACCCTGGCTGGGAAGCCATCCATCTGTTTCACCTGAGCAAGGCTTTTCAACTTCTAAAGCATTTGGTTTTGACAATAAAGAATGAATTCACATCTCAGTTGGGTTTTATGTGGCTAAGTTAGATAAAACAATGAGATTTCACTTTATTGAAGTTCAGGAATTATTAATTGCCCAAATGGCTATTAGCTACAATATAAAACTTGCTATTTTTCATAGATATTACAAGTTAATTGAAATACGAATGGAAAGACCAAAGTCTGTATAAGTACTTCCAAAGTCGTGGTTGATTTTATTCAAATGACTCAACAGTTTCTGTGTTTGAGTAAAAAGGAACCTCTCAGACTCAACATAATGAAATTCAAAACTTAAAAGATAACATATTGGATGGGGAAATGCCCCAGTGGCTTGACACCAGCATGGTACTAAGTTTGGATTTCTAGCACACTGGGGAAAGCTGGACATGGTAGGATGAATCTGTGGTTTTACTTCTGTGTTGCTGTAGAGGAGGTGTAGGCTGTGGGTACTGAGTCAGGAACCCAGTGGCAATTGCTGATGAGCCAGGCTGACCAACACAGCAAACTCTGGGTAGAGTGAGAGAACCTATTTTCAAAAGAGGGGTGGAGCTCATGTGAGCAACAACACTATCAGGTCTGGAATATATTGTTTTTAAATAGTTATTCACAGTTTGGCTTTTCCAATCTTGTTTCTCCCCTCTTCTGCAATGCTTTTTATTGGCTGATGGAGAATCAATTTTCTTCAGGGATGTTGCTCCAGACTATAGTAGATAGTCCTATACCCCTGCACATCACTGCAGCACTGAGTAGACTCAGTGAGTTTTGAAAAAAAGAACACCTAACGTTGGGGTAGAAAATGGAGGTGGTATGGACTAAGAGAGGAGTTGAAAAGGGGGGAATGGAAGCAAGGTTTGATAAATACTTCATATACAAATAGGAAATTCGTTAGAAATTCAAAGTTGGAGAGTGTGGTGGTTTGAATAAGAATAGCTCCCATAGGCTCATAGATTCGAATGCTTGGTTACCAGAGAGTGGAACTATTTGAAAGGCTTAGGAGGTGTGGCCTTGTTATAATGGGTGTGATCTTGTTGGGGTAGTGTGTCACTTGGCTTGAACTTTGATGTTTCAAGGGATCAATCCAGGCTTAATCTCTCTCTCTCTCTCTCTCTTTCTCTCTCTCTCTCTCTCTCTCTCTCGGCTACTTGTGGATTTGGATGTAGAACTCATGCTCCCTGCCCTGATGATAAGGGGCTAAGTCTCTGAAACTAAGTCCGAATTAAATGCTCTCTGTTATAAGAGATGTCATGGTCATTGTGTCTCTTCACAGCACTAGAACATAACCAAGACAAAGAGCAATAGAGGAAAACACTAAACACCAACCTTGGATCTCTACATATATATGTGCATATGCATACTTGAGCACACACACACACACACACACACACACACAGAGAGAGAGAGAGAGAGAGAGAGAGAGAGATACATATAGACACATACATCACATACAAACAGAGAGAAAGTCACAGAAGCACATACACAGACATACTCACATGTACACAAGTACACACACACACATGTGCACATACACACACACACACACATACACAGAATGGGATGAGCTTAAATGTACAACATCTTGTGCAATATGAGGAAAAGGATTAAGGGTCAGCAAATGTCTGCCATGTTGCTGTTATTTCTCAAGCTGCTCTTGAAAATTCAAAACCTCACATGAATAGATTGATTGAAAATTATTCAATGTGAAAACATTATTATCAGTTTTACTCTCAAAACTGAACAGTTATTAAAAAGTCTGCAAAGAGCCTTACCAACCTAAGACAGAAGTGCATTGCTTTGGATAATGCATATTCCGTGATGGGTAAGGAAGGCATTCTTGTCAGAATGACCTAAAACAGGCTCAGTCTTGTTAATGAAATAAAAAGGGAGAAGAGGCTCAGAGCCTTTAGGGTTGCTTAGCAAGAATCTAACATGGGCTAAGGACAAGGAAATGGGCTGCTTGGTAGGAATATGACATAGGCCAAGGACAAGGAAATAGGCTTCAGGCAGGAATCCTGACATTAGGCTAGAACAAAGAAGTAATTTCAGGTAGGAATCTAAATTTTAGGCTAGAACAAGGAAGTAGGCTTCAGACATGAAAATGACTTTGGGCTAGGACAGGGAAGTAGGCTCAGATATTTTGGTCATCCTGATAAGCCCTTAGAAACAGTGATCACAAGAGTGTTCACATAATTGGGTTTAATGCCTTGCTTGTTCTTTGACTATTTGCATCTAGTGTATTGCTAGACCCTCAACCTAGAACTGACCTTAATACATGCATGTAATTAAAATGGTATAAAAGCAAAAAGGAGGAGGGGATGGGGTAGGGGATTCTAGGGAGGGGAGATGGGGAAAAGGGATGACATCTGAAATGTAAATAAATAAAATATCCAATAACAAAAGACAAAAAAAGAAACATGAAAAAACAAACAAAAGAAAGAAGAAGAAAATATATGACATTTTATGTGACCTCAAGGTATGTTGATTTTTTCGATCTCTTCGCCTGGATGTCTGAAAAATTCTGACTTTCCACATCTTATGAATGTCTTTTTGATTTATGGTTTGTTGATTGGTTTTTGTTTTTCAAGATAAGGTCTCTGTGTTTAGACTTGACTGTTCTGGAACTGTAACCTAAGCTTGACTTGAACTCAGGGATCAGCCTTCCTCTGTCTCCAAAGTACTGGGATTAAAAAGTATGTGCCACCACATCAAGCTGTGTTTTGTTTTGTTTTAAAGGAACATTTGTTTACCAAAAATAAATGAATAAATAAATAAATAAATTAGAATGGATTCACCCAGATTACTAGATAGTTTTATCATTTATACTTAACTCTCATTTGTTTAACTTATGAAACTATATATCATGTATATATGTATGTATGTATGTATGTATGTACGTACGTACCTACCTACCTACCTACCTACCTACCTACCTACCTATCTACCTACCTATCTTCTCTTAATCTACATCTTCCCTTAGTGATTTGAGAGAATTAGATTACTGAATCTCTGACTTGCTCTTTCTCTTAAATTCACCCATATATGGGCCCTAAAAATAAGGCATTTTATTTTTTAAAAGCATACCATTTTTATTGATGACCTGGGCACATATTCAATGCATATTGCTCATATTCAGTCTTTTCAAAGGAGAAGACTAAGGTTGTACTGGATGTACAGGCTCTTCTCAATCATGCTCCATGGTTTTGCAATGTTAAACTTCCATTCTGGAATTTGAATTAATCAAGTGCTGTGTCAAGAGCTTTCCTTCAACATCGAGTGTTACTCTTTCCTTGGCTATATTTGCTATCACTCTCAGGCTGAAAGATCAAAATAGAATGAAGAATAATGCCTTTGGCCTGACTCTATATGATGAGTATACTCATGAAGTAAGCTACATACAGAGCCTCCTGTGGCATCACTTGGCATGTCCTTTGCATTTGAAATTGCTGACCAATAGATCATTATACAATTACCCATTACATGCTAATAGTAATGGAGACTGGAATTTGTCATTGGTTTAGAAATCAATAAATATTAGTTTTAAATTTTAAAAGACTTCCCTATAAGTTCCCTTTCATTTCATAGGACAATGATGCGAATAGAGGAGCAGGTTATCAAAAACACAAATTATAAGTCTAAACAAAACTTTCAAAAGCCAAGTGTCTAGTTACTACTCAGCTTAGGCTAGGCAAAGAACTTTATAAGAAGTGTGTTCTGATGAGAAAACATCACCTGGTTTCTAGGTAGGTGTGTCATTTATGCTGATTGCAGAATGGCATGGAATTCAAGGAGGAAAAATATCTCAAAATTTTCTGAATTCTACCAGCCTCCAATGTCAAGAAGATTTAGGACCTCCAGCATCAGTGAAGTCCACCAAATTGAGACTGCTATGTCCAACTTACCTGAATATGAAGGTACCCTGATTTGGGAGCTAGCTGTTCCATCCCCTCCTTCACTGTACGCTCGAACTTCAATAATGTAGACTCCAGCCTCAGGGAGAGGCACTACAGCTTGAGGTTTCTGTGTCTCAATAACTTGACTTTTGCTGTGACCCTCTTGCCTATAAAAAACCTGTGAGTAATAACAGAGGCTTGAATTATTTGTTATTCAGTTGGGCATTGTAAATGTTTCTTCACTGTCTACTATATATTACACTCTGAGTTAGGTACTGGACTCCACTGCTTCAACATATGAGCAAATGTGCTGCAAGTATAACCCACTGTGCAGGAAGTGTACACAGGGGCAAAGGCAATGTAGAAAGAGAATGTGATCTGTCTAGGTTTGAGGGAAGAAGATAAAGTGCCTAAGTTTAATGTTTGAATATAAGTTGAAAGCAGACGTGGTGGTTCATACCAGTAATCCCAATAGTTGTGAGAGCAAGGCAGAAAGATTGTCCTTAGTTCAAGGACATCATGATCTACAGCGACTCTGTTGAAAAACAATGACTACAAAAAACTACAAATAAATACAGAATTTACCAGATGGATATTTCCAGATATAAGAGAAAACTAAAAATAAGGGGGAAAAACCTCTTAAATAAGAAGAAACTATGGTATTCACACAATGGATAGAACATATGAAAGGCAGGAGAACTAGATTAAAGAAGTAGGCAGTAAGAAGTCATGAATAAGAGTTGAAACCTGTTCATTGAAACCGAGCACAGGAACTGAAGCTGTTAGTGTTCATGGTGGTCCCCCTAAAATCAGTAGCACAATTAGCAGTGTAATTGGGGGCACCATGTACTGGAACACAACATGAGCTTGGAGACACAGGAATGCACAGGATGTCTCAGAGGTTCCTCAAATGGAAAAATATAAGGAGAAAGTTGGTAAACATTTAAAATAAAAACACTGAATTTAGTAAATGATCACCAGAGTCTAAATTTTACTCATTATTATTATTATTTTTAAATTTCAGCAGAGGTTTGTATACTGATCAAATTGTGTTTGGATGACAGGAGTTTACAGAGTTAACTTAATTTTGACATGTGTCCATAATTGCACAATTCAGCACACTTGGAGAGAGAACAGAAGCACAAATCTGGACACAGTGTTGTCCTGTTGGTCACATAACTGAGGCAGCAGAGGTACTGAGATCCTTCATAAAGGTTGTGGCTAATTAGGATGGGAATTTCCTTAGGAAGTTAGTTCATTGGTCACTTTCTTACTATTTACTATGCTATGCTTCTCTTACACTTTTGCCTCCAATAATAGTCTATTACTATAAGAAGAATATAATCACCAAACAGCAGCACTTAAGATACACTAAGTGCATTTTTATTCATTCTCATTGTTTTTATGCATTTCATAATTATTGGTGTTATGATTGCCTTGCCTAATGGGAATAGCAATGGCTTGGTCATTATGCAAATACGGATTCAAAACAATCTTCTATGAATCCAAACCAAACCAATCTCCCAATGCACACAAGACCTGGTGCACACAAGATAATAAGAGAAAGTCACCTCTATCACCACCATTGTTGACTGCCAGTGGAACGCTGTTTAAATGTCATGTTCTTGAAGCAAGATAAATCCCACACATATGCACACACACAAACACATACACACAAGTTCATATAGGAAACATGTTTTGAGCTTGAACTAACTTGCTTGCAATGAAATAAACTTTAGAAAAATCAGAATTTCGGATGGGGAGAAATGTGTAGGTTTGTGTGCATATGAGTGGCAGAAACAAGAGGCCAATCTAGGGTGCTATTTTCCAAGAGCCATTCATCTATCTTCTTTGTTGAGACATAGTAATTCACTGGGACCACAGGCTCACATATGCAGATAGGCTGGCTGACCATCAAGGCCCAGGGATCCTCTTTTCTCCACCTCCTCAGTTGCTTGGCTTTTTCTGTGGCTGTCAGAATCTAACTGAGGGCCCCATGCTTGTGTGGCACTTTACTGGCTGAGTTATTTCTCAGCTCCTAAAGTAGCGTTTTGTGATTCATTTGTGTTTTGAAACAGGGTCTTACTATTTAGCCTTTGTTGGCTTTGACTCATTTAAACCAAGGTGGTCTAGAACTCAGAGATCTGCATGCATCCTCCTCCTCCAGGTTATGGAATTAATGCATATGCTACTGCACCCAGCCCCAAAGCAGTATTTTACATGTTGATGTGTGAAGTGACATTTTCCTCTCTTTACTTTTGGTAACACATATTCCATCCACTCTTGGATTGGAATTTGCATTTGAGTCTACAGGAAAGTGACTGTTTGTGTATCTAACGCTCTATAGTGATATGCACTTAAAGGCTTTCTGCAAAAAAGATGCCATAGCTTGAGCAGAGATGCAAAATGATGTGAGCATTTCTACATCTTTACTTGTTGCAGTATTGTGCTTGAATATCCATCAGAGAGTAGGTCCCTAGCTTCCTGACCCACTTTAATATTAGTCACTGACAAATCACAGTACAAGAAAAGGTGGGACGTGCTAGAGTGGAGGACATTTGATTACACAGCAACACACAGAAAGGGCACTTATATTTGGTGAATTCTGGAGCATGCCAACAGGAGTTTCTTTAGACTTAAAAAATTATAAATCTATGAGAATTTATGACTCTGATTTTGACTGCAGTGTAGTCATGAATTACAATCCTATCATCTACATGTGATAATTGGAAAGCACATATGAGAATGGAGATGTATGTAAATTGTTAAGGGCTGGCAGAAGAGTGACTGTTTCAGAAGACACTGTTAATGTGCTTCAGCAAATTACAATTTTTATGACAAAAAAAAAAGTAGCCAGGGATGCACATCTCACACTGCTCTAAATACAAAGGTGGCAGAAGCCTTGTAGATCAACCAAGAGTTAGGAACAGAAGGTGGAAACGGCGAAAATATAATAAAAAATCAGTTAATATTTTCAGAAAGAGCTTGAGATTAGTGGCTTTTATCAGTATATAGGAAGAAGCAACATATATCGGTAAAGACTTTTACCAACTAAAAAGTCAAGTAAACTAAAGGTAATTTTTCAGTACTTCAAAGCATCTCAGCCCACTTGAAGGCCCTGACTTAAAAAAATGAATAAGAAACTTAAAAAATATAAAAGCCTAATGAATTATAAAGACCTGGCAAAACCAGTTGCTTACCCTAAGGAGGCTAGGGAATTCTTCAACAATTTGGTCATTTCTAGATTGGCAGTTATACTGACAGCTATCATCAATCAAAAAAGAAATAGTCTACTGTAATGTCAAGTATAGTTTGAAATTCTATTAAAAAAACAGTATTAAAAAAAACAGTATTAGATTATCCAAATAAATGATTCCAATAAAATTTTAATTAGTATTACTATTGTTTAAAAAAATGAATTTATTTATTTATTTATTTATTTATTTATCTATTTATCTGCACGTGTATGAATGCACATATTGTGTACATGTAGAGCTCAGATTCAAGTTGCAGAAGTTGGTTATTTTCTTCTACAATGTGTTTCCCAGGGATTGAACTGAGGTAGACAGACTTGGCTCTAAGCCCCTTTAGTGCTGAAGCATTTTGCTGGCCTGGTACTGCTACTCTTAAAATGAAATGACTGTTTTAAGTTATATAATGATAACAGAGTGTTGAGTATATATAACAAAAACATGTTGATGATGCCTATAGATGCCCCTGAGAAACTGACATCCTGTCAAGTAGAAGCTCATTCCTTAGCTTTGTATCTTGGGAAAAGTTGGTAGGACCAATGATGAAGGTTAAGTGTTCTACAGCCCTAGGGAGAGGAAGATAGGTGAAGCAAGACACACCAAAGGTAGTTGACTCTGTGAGCACAGTGGTACATACTTGTATCCTAGACTTGGGAAGTTGAAGGTTGCTCACCAAAAGTCAGATTAGATCTATAAAGCACAGCAAGGTCAGCAGAGGATGATTAACAAGACTAAGTCTCAAAAAATAAACACAACCAATTTATTAGTACAAGTACACTTGGCTGTAGAGTAGCTGAAAGGACTTTGAGGGCATTACTTCCCAATGAGCAATTTTCAGACATTGGTAGGCACTTCCTCCTTCCCCACACACTGTGCCAGTTGGTTTTGTTGTTGTTATTTTGTCAACTTGACACAAGGTACAGAGGAGTAAAGAACCTTAGTTGAGAGGGTGACTCCATCATAGTGGCCCATAGACAAATCTATGAAGGCATTTCCTTGATTGATGGTTCATATGAGAGGACCTATGTCATAGCTATTCCTGAGCAAAAAGGAGGACTTTTGTGAGATCAAAAGTCCTCCCCTCAATTTCCTTAAATATCAAGATACTTCTATTTTGAATTTTCCAAGAATACCAGAAGTGAACTCTGGTTTAATAGAGTGGTGTTATATAATCCCATGGAAAGAGAAATGCCTAGTATGTTATACGTTGTAGGTCTTTCATGTTTATGGGGCGTTAGTATGTCAAGATTCTGGCATCACTCTTGGCCTGGCTACAAACTTTCCTGAATACAGCTAGAATCACACAGAAGGGATTGCTCCCCATAAACATGAAAGACCTACTTAAGTTTATACTACTAAGATCAGCTTTGTTGGAGGCTCTTCCCCAGCAAGAACGTATTCCAAATTGATGAGTGTTGTCCTCACCAATAGAAAACAGGAGTTTCCTTTGTTAATATAACTAACGTTTTCCCCCTTAGTAGTGTAATCTCCTCCAATAAAAAGAATACCATCTATATTTCAATATAGGCTTCTTAAACACCATATTATCTTGTATAAATTATCTAATCTTAAGATAATGCTGTAGCATAAATAATGCTAATGGCATTTTTACTCATTTTAACTGAAGAAAATGAAACTCAGGGGAGGTTTAAGAAAGTTATTCAAAATTATGCAAGTAAGATTTGAACTGAAGTCTGTCTGACTTAGTAGCTAATGATCTTTGTCTGTCACATCTCAACACATGGGGAAGTCATGCTGAAAAAGACACATGTTTGATACTAGCCGTAGATGGATAATTATGTGAGATGTTCCTGACTGGGTTGAAGTTAATGAACATATCCAGCTCTTCTAAGAGTGTTGAGGATGAGTGTTCTTGTCTTCAAGATCGATGCTCCGATGCTCCCCATTGTTGGGAGATTCCTCATGGCATAGAAAGTATTGGCGTAGAACAAATACAGACATACTGGGTAGAAATGGTAGCAAAGAGATCTGAGTGTCATGGGCATGCTGGTTGATTTAATTGCTAATTTGACACAACCCAGAATCACCTGGGAAGAGAGTCTCAATAAGTAATTATCAAGTTCGAGCTTGCCTGTGGACATGTTGATGGGGGATTTCCTTGGTTGTTAATTGATGTTGAAAGATCCAACCAATTCTGCACTGAACTATTATTTCGGCAGGGATTTCTATACTGAAGTATAATAAAAACCAATGTACCCAAAAGAAAGCAAACAGGAAGGATTCATACATGTATTTTCTTTGCTTTTAAGAATAGATTCGATGGGTCAAGTTCCTGCTTCGATCTCTCCTATATGGTAGAATTGGAGCTCCAGACTCACGTTCTTCTTTAAGTTGCTTCTGTTGGGTTTTGTATAATAGTCACAAAAATAGTCAGTGAACTGTACACTCAGCCTAACATAGTTTCTTTTGCCATTTAGAACTCAGGCTCCCTGGAGGGATGCTTAAGGCACCAACCTTCTAGGTAGTCATGTGTTTTTTTTCATGTGTTTTCAAGCATTCTACATTGCTTTTCCTACTTGCAAGGTTATTTGTCTACTTCTTATGCTGTTGGGATTGTCCTTTAATGGTCTGTCAGTATTCTTAAAATACTTTTCCCTTACTATTAAAGAGTATATCTGGCTTGAAGGGTGAGTTCAAAGGCTGTGTTCTCTTAGGGAAAAATGTGAAAATAAGAGAGCCTGTAGAAGGATCCAGAAAATGACCCATCTACCTCCTCAAAAGATGAAATTCTATATATCTGAGGACTAGTGTCAGATCTGAGTATGTGTTTCAGTGTGAGACTGTCTGTGATCAATATTAATTTCAGTTAAGAAACACTGTAAGTTGTTTCTTGTATTTGTAGGAAATAGCTTTACATACATTCATCTATGAATATATGGAGATGTATATTCTATTTGTAACTGTGTCTGTTTTAGGTTTCAGACTTCTACTACTTTATGCACACAATATTACGTCAGTATATCGGGTTGAAAACCAAAATTATAATGGTTGTCATCCTAAATATTGACATGAAAAAAAACCACTTTCAAACCTATCATAAATAATATTCAACTGGTAATTCTGCACAGAATTCAATGTGAAACTCTGATGTTCTGAAACAGAAGTTAGAAATTAGGACACATAAACCCATAGGCTGTATATATTTTTAAACAAAGTTGTTTGTCAGGCTGTGTAGAGGTTTTCACCCCTAGATCTCCTTTAAACCCAAGGCAAGATACCCGTGGAAAGTGTCTTTTGTAGCCTGGTGTCACTCCATGGTCTCCTTTCTATTTAATGTGCTCACCACAGCACTTTATTCATATGCTTTATTTTCGTTTTTAAAAGAAAATCATTCTGTTCCATCTTAGAGGTCCAGGCTTTGTCATCTGCTACCAAAGTTTACTGGAAAGATATGCCAGCATCCTCCAGGAGCTACAGGGCTGTCTGCATTCATACTGAATTCAGGGTCCTGTTGTTGTTGTTTTTTCCCTATTCTCTTCTTTTAGATGCTGTGTGGTTTTGAAGCTGAGTTTGACTGTTGCCTCCCACACCACAGGCAAGCACACCCTCTAAGACACAGACACAATACAGTCAAAAGCTCTTCCACAGCTCTTCTGGCACCTATCTGTCAAAAGTGTGTTTTTAAGTTGAGATATCTCAGAGATAATTGGATTTCAGTGATGACTGCAATGCTATCCATGATGGATAAATTATGGAAACAATTTAGGTGTTCAACATCAGAGAAAAGTCACATAAGAAAAATATGCACGGGGGAATTTTCTTTTCTCTGTCAATTTCAGGAAAATGGATGCCACTGGAACAAATCATGTTAAGCAAGTTAAGCCAAGTGCACAAAGACAAATACCTTATTTGTTTCCCATTTGTGGGTCATAGATTCTTCTATAGAAAAATATAAACAAAGTAAAATAAACGTGAGTGTGTATATGAGAATAAACTAGAAGTAGAATCATCTAAGGTGGTGGTTCTCAACCAGTGTGTTGTGACCTCTTTGAGGGTAAAATGACCTTTTCACAGAGGTCACATATCAGATATTCTGCATACTAAATAGTTATGATTTATAACATTAGCAAAATTAAAGTTATGAAGTAGAAACGAAAAATAGTGTTATGGTTGGACGGGGTCACCACAGCATGAGGAATTGTATTAAAGGGTTAGCATTAGGAAGGTTGAGAGCTACTGGTCTAAGGGAGTAGAAGGAACCAATGAGAAAGGAGTAGGTGAGAAAATGGACGCTGAGGGTAAGAGGAAAAAAGGCTCAACCTGTAACAGGCACATCTATTCAAGCTTCAAAAACCACAACTACGAAGAAGAAAATGTTATCAAGAAAACCGAATACTTAGCATAGGATTCTTGATGCCTCATTCAAGGTCCCCCCATCACAGTGGCAGCTCTGAGATGTGTGTTGTTCCAAGAATGAACAGACACTAACCTTGTAACCCATGACTTCAGACTCGTTGGCTAGGGGTCTGACTGGCTCCCAGCCTAGGGAAACCTGGGAACCCTGCTGCTCCCACCGGAGGTTGCCAGGTGGCTCGCTAGGGGCTGCAAGATAAAAACACGAAAGTGAACCACCAGCCCGAAATGCATTTCTTCCTTTCAGTCCTGAGGATTCCTGTCTTCCGTGTGTCTGGTAGTTGGCTGGTGCCATGGGCTTCCCTCCAGGTGGAATCAGAGGAGGAGGGTTTGCTCCAGGAGTGTCATTTTAATAGCTACTCCACTGAGCTTTTGAACTTGAACTCTTTTATCTCCCTTCTGTGTCAAAATCGCTTAGCCTTATTTCACAGGACGATAACCTTTACAGACTTAGAATGCGAAATTCTTTTGAGCTGGTTTTGGAATGTAGATCTGAGGACTGAAGCAAGGCTCCCTTTTGACTCTGCTTATTATGCACCTCGTGTGGCTTCTGATCAAGTGGCTTTCAAACAAACAAAAGCCCTGGTCACTTACGGTGCCTCTTTGTGGTGGCGCTCACTTCCCTGCTGGGTGGCCCATATCCGGCTCCATTGTAAGCCCTGACTGTGAGGTGATAGAGTGTGTCGCCTTCCAATCCCGTCAACATGACGAATGACTCATTCCCCCTGGTTCTGACTGTTTCTGCAGAGTCTTCGGGCTCCGTATCTTTCCAGTAACCAATCTGTCAACACATTATCACAAGACAAATTAATTTTAAAATTTCTCTGGGATTGTGATTCTGCCTGAGATACTCATCCTGTTTCCCTCCTCTCACGGCCCCAACATCACCCAAGTAGCTTGAGATCAAATCCGGAAGAAATTGCCTCTGAACCCCTCATTTTACAGCCCTAAGCTGCAGCGCTTTTAACTGCCTCGGTTTCTCTCTGATTGTACTGTATTCTGTGAGTGCTACAGATCCTAAAATGCGTTCTGGTATTAAAGAAGATCAAGCCAAGATGGAAGAGCTTTTCCTCCCTCAGGTTAGCAGAACATTTACCTGGAAATGACGGAGAAATTATCTGGAAAACAGGCCTTTTGAAATACCAAATGAAGGGAAATTACAACATCTTGTACTAGATAAACAAAGAGGAGTCAGAATACCCATGATGCTTTGGTGTGGGTTAAATGGACTGAAAGTGTGCTAGGTATGAAAGGGGGGCAGACTGCAGCTGTTGGAGGCTCAGTTTGCTTGAAGACCATTTATTTTTCCTTAATGCTGAGATCCTGTATCACATTAGGTATGTTCTCCTGTGATGCTCTCTTCAAACCTTAACCTCTGTTAGTGGCTAACAGAACTTTAGCCACTAAAGTTCGACAGGATACGGCTCAGAATGGCAGGGAAGGCCTGGTAGCCACCGTGGGCAGCATGCTGAAAGACTATACTCCAGACACATCTTAATTATGGTTACGGCAGAAGCCTCGCCTGTATCCATCCTGTTTTCCTTCTGATGCTCTTGCTTCTGTGGAGTTGAGAAGGCCAAATGGTACTTTCTAGATTCTCTTTTAGCTAAGCTTGCTGGTCTGAAAGGTGGGCAATGTGGAGTGTATATGGAATCTGCAGATTTTCTCCCGCGTGTCTCAGGTGGCTGGAGCACAGGAGGCACTAAAGGCTCTGATCTTAGTAAGGAACCTGTGTATTGCTGTGGCATCTTAGGGACCTGAGTCAATCTGGATGCTGGCTAAGGGAAGGAGCACATGAAGAGGAAGAAGATAGTTACAAAATGTCACTGCAGTATTTGCTGTTCCTTTTCTTCTTTTTATGTGCATGTGCGAGTTGTGTGTGTGCCTGTGTGAATGCATGTTTGCATACATGTGGTGGTGGCTCAAGGTTAGTTTTAGGATCGTCCTTGATTCCTCTTTACTCTTTGAGCAAGATTTCTCAATCAAATATTGAGCTCATCAACTAGCTTGTCTCCTTTGCCAGCTTGGGATCTGGGAGTCTGCTGTCTCTGCCTTAGGCAGCTGGAATTACTGGTGGGCCACCACATCCTCCCAGCATGTACATTGCTTATGGAGATCCAAGATCAACTCTTCTTAAAGCTATAGGCAGCATTTTTACTATGGAGCTGACACCGCAGACCATCCCTGTTTTCCTTGTGTTGTTTTGAACATGCAGAATAATATGAGTTAGTGTTGCCTCCTCATCTCTAGTACAGCAGTGTGTCTGTGTGTGTGTGTTTTCTAATAGAATTTATTAGTGAAGCAAAAAACTTTCATGCTCAGCTTGACTGGTGGGGATTCCTTTGATTTTCCTCTTTGGAGATAGAGTGCATCAGTTATTTTTCTTTCAGTTGTGGTTAAAATATCTGTTAAGAAGCACCTTCAGTATAGGAAGGTTTTTAGGCTTCAAAACTTAGAAGTTCAACACGATATAGCTCAGCACTGCAGGGAAGGCATGCTAGCCACTGTGATGCTAGCTGCTGTGGGCAGCATCTAGCCACATTGCCTCAGAGAGTTAGAAAGTAGAGAGAAAACAGGTAGGGCAGAGTTATAAAACGTCAAGGCCCCGCCCTCAGTGACCTGCTTCTTCCAGTGAGGTGTTACATCCTAAAGGTCCCACAATCCTCCTAACAATGCTGGGAACAGCAAGACTGTGAAGAAAACTTCATATTCAAACTTCAGCAGAGAATGCCTGCAGTTTTGTTTGTAGATGTGACATTGTGTAGTCATCATACACCTTCCTTGTTACTCTGAGGCTTTTGCTGACTGTTGACCGGGTCTGTGCAGATTTGGAGTGGACAGAGATGAGAGCATGTTAGTTCGCAGGGCTCTCCTCCTCCAGGGTTGTGCTTTTCTTTGCTGATGGAGAGCCAACCTTTGTATTTCTAAGGCTTGCTTTCACTCCGGGTGCTGTCAGGCTTTAGGTTTGGTCACTAGGAAGCAGGTGCATGTGCCATGAAGCCAGAGTGAGCAGAAGGGTGAAGCCTTGCCCTTTCTATTCTTTTGCCAGCAAACGAAGACATGAAGGCACATTTTTTTTCTCCTTCCTCCCTCCCAGCAGCCTTAACATATGTCTTGTTGCCCAGTCCCTGGCTTGTTGGGGCTCAAGAAGTAGACACATTGCTTGGACTTTGCTAGTTCAAATCAGAGCAGGCACAATGAGAATCTGGGCCTGGCAATCATCACAGGATCCTTGAGGTGAGTGCGGCTCCCTCCAACTTTAGTTATGACAAGGGCCTCAACTTCTGGCCTTGATGGTTTTCTTCCCACTTTTAAAGTCATCACCCTTGTCTTTTGTGTTTCTAGAGTTTGATCTTGAAAGCTATTCTTGAACAATTACACTACATGTGCTGTCTCAATTTTGCTGTTTTCATACAATACACCTTGCTGAGGAGAGCATTATCGGTTCTTCACAATTGAGCCCTGGCTGACATATATGTAGAGGCCTCTAGTTCATATATAAAGGAAGGCTAGTAAAATGAGGTCATCTTTTCAGCCAGTCTTCCTACAGAATTGGAAGAGAATATAGTCAAGTGAGTGAACTTGAGAAAGATAGTTTTCTAAAATAGGAAGTCCCCATTCTGTACTTCATACACTGCTGGCCCCACTATTCCCTATTCCTAAGACTAGCTTGTCTTTCTTGGACTCTGAGAATATTTGAACAGAAGAAAAAGTCCAAGTTATTTTCAAGCTGAGAAGTAGGCTGAGAAGTTGCTAGTTGAATGAACACTCATTTTTCTTTTCCGGTGATGCATCTGATTTCCTGGCTTCTGCCTCAATGTCTCTTAACCAGTTACATTATTTTAAATATAATTTAGTATACTTTGATATAGCTGGATGATTAAATTAAGCAAAGTGCAGGTTTTATAAAAGTACAAATTTTGGATTTCTAAAGATTGGATGTATGTTTAGTATTTGGAGTAACCGCTATAAAATCAAACATTGCAAGTAAAATAATAAATGCTTGTGCTGCTAAACTCATTATGATGAGAACAAATTCTGTCCACCTGAACCAACACCTCAGGCTTTAGATTCCCCAGAGAAAAATTTTAAAAATTCACTGAGGCAGGCTCTCTCACTCAAAGCCAGTCTCAGTCATCTGACCCATATTTTGCTAGCTTGGTCGGATCCTATCTCTGCCTTTCAGAAATGGAATTACAGGTGGATACCATACCCACTTGGCATAAGTTGTGTTCTGGGGTTCTGAATTCGAATCCTTATGCTTGTGTGGCAGGTGCTCCAACCACTGAGGAACATCCTCAGTGCCACTAACTTTGACTTTTGATTAGAGTATTGCTGAGGCTAGCTCATAGCAGATTTCTTTTTAGCATACCATCCTAATTGCCTAGACAAGATCCCAGAAAGGGGACTCTAGGCTTAAAAGTTAGGACAAAATCAAGCCTTCTAACACAAAAATGCCTGATTACTTTTCAAAGAATTTGAACCTTTTTTGTTTCCAACAGAAATGCATAAACATAAGACATTTTCCATATGGCTACAAGCTCAAGGCAGACTGTGGCTTTGAAGCCAGAAGATTATATTTAAATCTTACTTTTGGTGCATGTAAGCTGCATGTGGGACAGTTTCCTTAGCTTCTTTTAATGGTTTTGTAATTTATCATTTTAATTTTTTTGTCTTTTATCATACTAAAATCTTACTTCTTACTTAAAAAAGTATGTGACATACAGCTTTATTAGTGTTAAGCAGAAATAATGATTTTTTTCTTGTTGCTTAGTGTTTGAAATGTGTGTTTTTGTCCACATTTTCGGGTATTTCTTTGGCTACAAACATTCCACCTTCTCTGTAGCTCTGAGTTCACTAACCCAAATTCTTTTGTCCTTCACATCTGTTGTCTCCTCTGAATTTTAAAACATACTTTCTTGCACATTTACTCTGCATTCTGAGATTACTTCCTAGGTTTTTACTTTGAAGCATCAGTTTCTATATTTAGCAGTATTGGGCCAGTTGTTAAGAGCACTGGTTGTATTCCAGAGAACACAGCATTGGTTTCCAGAACCTACATGGCAGTTTGTAACCATTTTAAACTCTAGTTCTAGGAATCTAAAGTTCTCTTTTAGCTTTCCTGTGCACTAGGCACACATGTGACACACAGACATGCATGCAGGCAAAATTCTCATACACATGAAATAATAAAAAAAATTAAAATATTTAGTAGTATTAACTTTGTATCTTATTGTTCCTAATGAGTGTTTTATTTTGTCAATTTGGGTCCTGATTTTAAATGTGTTTTCTTCATATCCTGAGATGCTATTTAAGTATAGAAAAGAGTATTTTCTCATCCATTTTCTGTAAACCAAGACCCATGAGCCTAGTGTTTTTCTTCTGGGTAAGAGATTATCATCAATCTTCCATCCATCGACCCTCTATCTATGTAACTCATCTTACCTGTCATCTATCATCTACCTTTTATGTATCATCTTGCTATAAAATCTCTATCTACTATCTATCTATCAACCTATCTATCATCTATCAATCAAATGTCTCATTTTGTGTCTATCACACATTTATCATGTATATATTCACCAATCTATCACTTGTAAATATTGTCTGTCACTATTTATCTAACATCATATGTCTCTATCATCCATTAAAATAACTTTTCATGCCAAAGAGTGTGCTCTGGAAACATACATACAAGTAACATTAAACAGTCTGAACAGATTATATTTAAGGATATATGTATATACATAATCATACACATAAATATGCAATAACCATTAG